TACACATTATTATACTGTCTTATCTTCTGATAGACTAATCGAATAAAAATTTTTTCGTTAAATTTTTATATGCGGGCCGCATAGTAAGCTTTTCAATATATTTGGTCCACTTGATATTTTAAGTTTGACATGCCTACACTAGGTACATTGTGAATATTATTTAAATTAAATGATTATTATCGTATGTAGATAATAGTGTAATACAATATGTACCTTGTTTTTGTGAATAAATGTATATTGTATAATATAATAATATATATTTATGTATAGACCAGAGTCCAGAATGTGACATATGAGTCGATTTACAACATAGATAGATAGAGAGACTTATCGAAAGCTGGTCCTTAATGAACCAGTAAGCTGACAAAAAATAATATGTTTAGTTAAAACTTAAAAGACGTTATAGATTAAAATACCATTTTTTTAAATTTTTCAAGTACCTACCTAATTATCTTTTATTTTTTAATCATTTAGTAAAATTTGCTAACCTGCGTTCAGCAATTCGATCATATTTCTGTGATTTTATTATTATAAATTTCAACATTGAATGATTTATTTTGTCATCTAAAAAGCGTTGTATCAACATATATACATGTATTAACATATATCTAGATTCTAGTTTTTACAACCGTGGACGGTGAAATTATAGTGTAGCATACAGCATATAGGTACTTGTTTATTATACCTATATGTATAAAAAAGACTAATAATTGTCGCTAAATATACTAGAAAATATTGGAAATAGAAACATATAGATATTTTTTATCATTTGTTAATTTTGATGAATCTACTTAAAATTTAAATCAAATTTATACATAAGTAATTAATTTGATAAAATTAATAAAATAATCCTATCAAAGAGATCAAAGTACCTAACTTAAAATGCATAAGATTAAGTTTCAAGTTAAATAATTAAAAATTCCTCGGTTCTATGTAATGTGAAAATAAATTATTATCTTATTATTTTATTAGGTATTTCCTACATGTTTTTTTTCAATCAGCATACCTATTATAATAAAAAGGTATAATTTTTTATTTTGTGAATACTCATTTTATAATAACAGTAAATAATAATATATGTAATAGTAAAATTGAAATATTAATATAATTACTAATATTGTTCGAAATTTACATTTTGGTAAATAACGTTATAACTTATAAGACTCTATAATTGTATACATGTTTTATTGTTACATAGGTACACATTTAATTAAACAAATGATACATTTTTATTTTACAAGGGTGAATCATGAGGCTATTTATTGTTACATGCAAATCTGTAGAATTCGGATGATAATAGTTTGTTAAGACTAAATTCGTATAGCCAAYATGTCATTATAACTATAATAATTATTATTATATCTTGTTATCGAGTGTTACGAAACATTAGGCAGAATGTGTTTCGAATGAACACGTATTTTTAGACTTAAAGTACCTACTCGTATAATAATATAGAACGCTAATTTTAGGTATATATAAAAAAATCTACCGTGAATAGTATAAAGAACCGCCCACTCACTGTGGTATTACATGCACGCGTGGTCCATATGCCGAGAACGATCATTCAGTGTATTTTTAGCGTCTGTGAATTATATTATTCCACTACAATAATAATTATTATATTTAAAGATAGCAAAATGGGGCGTTGAGATTTTATTCAACTGTATTAGTTCAATTATATATGATATGTCGCATGCATGTACGGTACTATTGTACCTACAATATTGTATAATATATAATATATACTTAGTCAAATTGTTTTTTAGAACCAATTTCTTAACGACCCGCAGTTGTGTACTTTAATATTTATATCTCTCACTCACGCCAAGTCAATCATACATAGAACATAAATTTTTAATATAATTTGCCGAGTCTATATAATAAAGTAACAATACCAAAAACATAACAAAAACTTCGTTATCACAGACCATAGTCCACACTTTCTCAGACAGGACAGTCTAAATTATTGGTTTTAAATTTAAAAATACAGACGCTATTTTGTTTTAAATTATTTTTGTCCCTGTATGGACTTAATAGCCAGTAGAATGTTATTTAAAAGTTTTTTTTTATTAATTAATATATTATTATTACTATTGTTATCAATTATATAACTTAAAATATACAAAATAAAAAGTTTACTTAAGCAAAATCATTGTTGGATATTTGTATTATGTTGTAGAGATGTGAGTTTGTATTAAACAGTGGTATAATAATGTATTATACGAGGTATTATACACATAAAAAAAAATGCGTTATTTTTAGTTATTACTACGATTAAAGATAAAAACTATTATCATTTATTATTGTTATTATTATTATTATTTATTATCATTTACATGTTTACCCATTGGCCGTCGAGTACTAATTCTAAAAATATCCATAGCTGCGCAATTTTATCCTTATCGACTTTATTGAACTGTATAATATTACTGTTGACGTTATTGTATATTCAGATACTCTGATATTATTATATTAATCATATTATCATTTTATTCTAGATTAAAAAATATTAAATAATAATCATTATTCATGCATAATGTCTTCTTGGCTCTTGTAGTTGCTAATTACTAATTAGCTATTATAATATTGAACATTTAGGTACAATGAAATAGTATATAACCATATAGGTATTAAGTATAGTTATCTATTTATTTCTAATTAAAAATTAAAAATAAATAAACAGATGCCTTAATACATATGTTTACTTAAACTTTTTAAAGATTAAATAATTTAGTTTATATAATTTTTTTTACTAAAGTTCTTACATAAAATATAAGCACTTAGTACATACAAGAAAAAAAAGTGTGGAACCAAAAAGTTAGTAGATATATTTATATGCTAGTTGGCAGATAATAAGATTACTCAAATCCTAATTTATTTTGAAGTTTATTTGATATTTTAAGAATATAATTTACTATGAAATGCGAATTGTAATTAAAATATTTTAAATTTAAGTTATTTCTAGTCACTAGTTGTATGGACATTGGACATATGGTACCTACATCATGGTAGCATGACTTAATATTAATTTGGCGAATTAGATCTAAAATAATTCTTGTATTATGTGTTTTTTTAAATTTTTTCTAACTTTTTACCCATTTTTTAGATTAATCCACTTTAAAATAATTCATATTYCATAACAATGGGGTTATAACCTATGTTAAATTTCCTATAATTTAAGGTACTGCAAGGTTTTATACGGTCTAATACTGGTATAATACGGTATTATACAAAACAAAAATAAAATACCGTATTTTAAGTGTTATTCACAATTCTGTAAAAAACACATCACATTGACATTGCTAAAAAAAAATTAATGTTTTATGTTAGGTATATTATTGGTATTTGGTTATGCATTGTTAAGATTGGTATAATGGCTTTAAATCAATATTTTTTCATCATACATAATAAGATAGCTTACCTTTTACTAGTTTATATCAGTTATATAACAGATATGTATATAGAATATGCGTCATTAAAATTATTATCTATATCTGTGATATCAGTATTTATGTTATACTTGTTATAGGTACCTACATGCATATTAATRTTATTTTACGTTCTGTATAATTTATGTGTGAAAAAAATCATTATGTCTCTGATTAAAAGTAAAAATTAGTAGATTTTAGATATACAGATAGATAAAGTTAAAAAATTTTAAAATTAATTTTTTTAAGCCCATAATGCATTTTTTATAATACTATACGAGTAATAACCATTGGATAATGTAACCCTTATTTCTATATAGATTTAATTACAACTATTGCTTGAATAAAATTTATAATATTGTATTCATTATTCAATTATAAAAGGATTTCTAATCATTCAAATGTTTTCTCTCAATTGTATTTCTAATGCTGGGTGTGTTATACTAAAATATGTAAATATTTGGAGGTGGGTATGGCAGTGACAGAGATAGGAGGATGGATAACGTTCTTAATATTTTTGATTTTTCTATTACACGTACATCTAGTTATATATTATCCTGTTTAGTGTATATGAAGAATTGAAGATCTCGGAACGACTTTGAGATGAGCGCRCAAAAAATTTATCCGCGCAAAATTATGGGGATACGCCCATGCCGACCCACTAATCGCGTGCCCTCCAGAGCATAAAATATMGTCATCAATATTATTATGTGCAACGGCAGTGATTAAAAATAGGTAATATTGTCGTAGTCGTCATCATCGTCGTCGTCGTTGTTGTTGCTTACACGGTCTTATGCAATTTCGTCCTACTCGTTGTATCATAATATCCGGTGGCCGGTGCACGTGACGTACATTTATGTATGAGTTGCATTTTAATTGTACAGTATACACAAATATTATAAAAATATACAGGAATATTACCTATATTATAAACGTTTTACAGCGTACAAAAATCTCAGATATTACAGAAAATTATTTTTATTAAAGATTTTTCGTTTTCTACCTCTTATTGATAAAATTGAAAAAATATAAAAACGTAAGTAGTATTCGAGTATCTGATACCTTAAAATGTGGATACACATATCTAATCATACTATTATTTACATATTATAAGTAAGTAAATGTACATATTAATCATACTATACCTTTAGCCTAACCTGCCAAACATGGAATCTGGGTGATTTATAACCTATGAAAAATTAAAACGTAAAATTCGCTTATTAAAAATATAAAATATAGAATATAGAAAACAAAATACTTGTACTTGAAAAATTTAAAACAACGTCTTTAATTAGTATATGTTTCTCTCACGAGGTACCGTAATTTTTCTTAAATCCCGTAAAAAACTATAGAAATGTATTTTGTTATTCATTAATATTATCTAGGTTTTTAAAATTCTAATATCCTAAAATAGTATAACACATTGGTAAGTATAATATATAGGTGCATCAATAACAACAGTATCAACACGAATTTATTGTGAATAACTTTATATAATTATGAATACTTTGTCCATCAGCCTCAATATAACAATATTTAATGATTAATTAAAATGTTTATTTTATTTTGCAGTGATTCGCCGATCACCAAACACGACTGATATGGGTCCATTAAACCTAGAATGGATTAACTACTGCTTCGTGAAAAACGGACAAAAACACAGGACCGATAAGTATTATTGTATGGGCGAAAGGAATCCAACTTTAGTGGTACGCAGAGGACTTCCTATTTGCTTTTACTTAAAATTTGACAGAGAGTTTGACATGGCTAATGACAGTGTGTCGTTTATGTTCAAATTGGCTGGTAATTACCAATAACTTTATTTTACTTAATGATGTATAGAAATTTATATTTGGTGTATTATTTGTTAAGCAAGCTACAAGGATTTTCGGTAGTGTCAAAAGTTACAAAATATAATAACATATTATGACCATACTGAAAATCTATAATATTGTATAAGGATTATTACGTTTATCAATTCTGAAGCAAAAATAGTTTTTAGAATAATTTTTAATACTATTAAACCCAAACAAAAATTATAGTTTATGGGTGTGTTTTGTGATTGAAAGTGACAATCATGAAATAGTAACATTAAGATTTTATGATAAAAATAAATAAATAATAAAAATAAAATGTGAACAATGATGAACCGTAACACACAATATCCATATAATATTTAGGTAGCAATAATGTATGAAAATAAATATACGATTTAACTATTTAAGCCATTCATAATACATTATTATTAATATTATTTACTTTCCATTATATATAGGAAATGCATCCAACCCGTTGAGTAGGTGTTTTTGACCTAACACAACTACACGCCTGTATCGCTAATATGATTGAATAATTATTATGCAATCATAACAGCGGTTTATTATACTACTTTAATTATTATTATTTTTAATATAATATTAACGACAACGAAATCCCACGTGAAATAGGCATCGCTGTAGTGTAAAAATGAATAATAAGAGTGTAGTAGGTACCTACGCGTTGCACATAATGCATTTAAAAAAAAAATAAAGTAGGTGCAAACAATGCACAAATGCATAAGTTGTCATTGAAAAATACAAGGAGACGATTATTTGAAATAGTTTTCTTYTTTTATTTCGACCTTGTCCCAGTTTGTATTATTTCTAAATTTTTTCTCGGCCACCTATTTAGCGGGTCTCACGCATCTGTGATAAAATAATATTTTCCGGAAAAATTGTTCATTCGACCTAGTTCTTAAAATAACACAATTTTTTTCAATAAAGTATATGTTAAACAAATAAGTAGACATTTTTTTACCTATGGTTTATTAAAATGAGACTGCATTTTAATGAAAATACTATTTCACAATTTCCCACATATTTAATGCACCTAAGGTGTTCTAGTATATTATAAAAAGTGTTCACTAATTTATTTTGTATAGTTTTATTGAAAAAAAAAAATTATAATATGTTTGATAGCTATATTTTAAATACCTAGGTACCTACGTTTGAAATTGATCGAATTTGAAGTCTGAAAATGCTGGTTTTTATTACAAATAAGCTAGTTATTACTCATTAGGAATATCAAATTTTAAATATTCACAGATAAGATAGTTTTTACATTTCTTATTTTATATATTATATTATTGACTGATTTAATTTTTTTTAGTATTGAAAAAAAAATATTCAGTATATTACAAAATTATCCATACATCATCTAACTATTACAATTCACCTTTTTTTTTTTAATCTATACATATTCTTTGTACAATCAGTAGGTTTGATTTATAAGTGACAAAWAAAAGTAAATAACATGAAGCAATTCWCCTTAAAGAATATATACCGTCATTACATACAGTTGATAACAGATAAATTTTAATATTTTTCTACTGTTTTTTTCCTGGGAAAAAGACATTTGTTTGTATTTTATATACTTTTACTTTTGTATAATCCCACATGATGCCTGTGGCCAGTGAATAATTTTTATTAGCTAGCTATAAGTACCTACGTGTATCATAATACCACATCTATAATTTCGCCTCTGCTAATTTATACGTTTTTTCCTAATTTAATTTATCCAAGAATGTTTATAGTAGTATACTAGTATATCTCGTATACACGACCAACTGTTAGATTTTGTTTGTCCAGGTTTATTATTAATAATATTATCTAATAAACTTCCGTTTGAATATCGCAGAGTTTCATTTTTTTTTTTTTTTTTTTGTGAAGCGCGCTCATTTAAAACCATATTTTGACTTATAAACTACACAGAGTTTAAACCCCTTAATATAAATTATAATAAATTGGTTCAATGGTTGTCATGTTTATGACACTATATATTGTATTATTATTATGGTAATATGTGTGTATAAATATCTATCTTAGTGTAAAGCATATTTTTAAAATATAAAACATGTTTTATTGAAAAGAAAAACATATTACATTTTATTCATGTTTTGTATATATAAAAAAAATAGTTTATTTAGGGAGGGATGTACAATTTATAAAAACACAGCTATAAAAA